TCTGAGTGCAGTTTCCTTATCCATAAAATGAGGGAGTAGGACTCTATGATCTCTAAGGTTTCTCCCAGCCCTGAGCTGCTAGGATTCCCTGACTTTAAGCCTCATCTTCTCCATGAAGTTGTCCTTGACTATTCTTAGGCTCCCTTCATTGAAGTCTGATAGCCCTTGTCTTCACCATACAATTTCACACTGTCTTGAATTACTTTCCCCTGATTTCATATATTTATTCACTCACTCAAAAAACATTGACTGAGTTCCTCCTAACATTTTTCTGGGCCTTGAGATATACGTGAAGATGAATATGGCACAGTCCCGATTCTCATAGGATCATAGATCTAGAACCAAAGGGAATCTTATAAGATATTTAGATTCTTCCCATCCTCTTACCCCCATTTTACAGTTGAAGAAACTGAGGCCCAGGAAGGTTAAGTGATTTGATTGTGGTAATATGAGGAGGTTTCCAGAGACAGGATTTGAACCCAGTTTCTCCAACTCTAGACCCCATGCCCTGTACCCTGCTTCCTCTTTCTCAAGAAGATTTCAACCTAGTACATAAGTATTGATTTCCTCATGTAGGTTGTGAGCTCTTTGAAAGGGGTCTATACCCTAGATTTCTCTTGTCCTCACTTCAGTGCTTACTTAATACAGTATATATGTAATAGACACTCAGTAAGTATTCCATTTCATGGATCTTCACTGCAGAGCTGGTAAAAGGCATCATGCATTCTAGACTGGGCTTGAAAATTCCTATCCCCACAAGTTCTCTGTCTTAACTGTTCACCAGATGCTTTGACCTTTCATTGTAATGCATGCAACTTGACTTATTACAAAAACAAAACAAAACAAAAGCATATTCTGTGTGAATATAATTAGTTCTAACATTGAAAATAAATTCACTCCTGAAAAGTAATATTTAAAAGTGACCCTTGTTTTCCCAGTTGATGAATGGTCAAAGGATATGAACAGGCAGTTTTCAGATGAAGAAATCAAAGCTATCCATAGGCATATGGATTAGAGAAATGCAAATTAAAACAACTCTGAGGTACCACCTCACACCTATCAGTTTGGTTCATATGACAAAGAAGGAAAATAATACATGTTGGAGAGGATGTGGGAAAATTGAGACAGTAAGGCATTATTGGTGGCGTTGTGAACTGATCCAACCGTTCTGGAGAGCAGTTTGGAACCATGCACAAAGGGCAGCCAAACTGTGCATATGCTTTGATCCAGCAATATCACTACTAGGTCTGTATCCCAAAGAGTTCGTAAAAAAGGGAAAAGGACCTACCTGTGAAAAAATATTTATAACAGCCCTTTTTGTGGTGGCAAAATACTGGAAACTGAGGGGATGCCCATCATTTGGGGAATGGCTGAACAAGCTGTGGTATAGGAATGTAATGGAATGCTATTGTGCAATAAGAAATGATGAAAAGGCAGATTTTAGAAAAACTTGAAAAAACTTGTACGAACTGATGCCAAGTGAAATAAACAGAATCAGGAAAACATTGGACACAGTATCAGCAACACTGTGTGATGATCAACTATGAATAACTCAGCTCTTCTCAGCAATACAATGGTCCAAGACAAGTGCAAAGGACTCACAAGAGAAAGTGCTACCCACATCCAGATAAAGAACTGATGGACTCTGAATGCAGATCGAAGCATACTTTTTTTTACTTGCTTTATTCTTTTTCATGTTTTTTTTTCTCCCATTTTAATCTGTTTCTTCTTTCACAACTGTGACTAATGTGGAAATATGTTTAACATGATAGCACATGTATAACCTATATTAAATTGCCTACCGTATTAGGGAGAGGAGAAGGGAGGGAGAGAAGGAGAAAAATTTGGAACTCCAAAATCTTGTAAAAATGAATGGTAAAAATTGTCTTGACATGTAATTGGGAAAAATATAAAATACTATGAATGAATGATTGAATTAAAAAATAGAGTAGAAAAAAGTGACCCTTGTACTTTCCCAATGTATTGCCCCTAGGAAATAATCCAACTTGTCTATTCCTACTACCAGCTCTGCCCAAGTGTGTTAGAATCACATAATCCTTAGGTGGGAAGCCACCTATCTTCTCTACCTATAGGTCATTTTATCCAAGTCTAATTATGATTGTTCTAAGTCATTCCAGGTGCATGCATCTAAGTGTATCTCTCCTGTTTTAAGAGATCTCTTAGGAAGAAGAAACCACATTTTCCCACCGTTAAGTAAACATTCACTTTATGTTGCCCAGAGTCAGGCCTCCATGCCACTTCTTGGCCATTTCCTCACATGCAGCTCATGCTCCAGTCATCATTCTCATCTCCCCACTACTATAACCTTGGACTTTGCCTCTGGGTTGTCTAGCTCTGATAGCTGAATTTTGCCTCATCTTGGCCTTTATGCCGTCTCCCAATCATCTCTACACCATGCCGAGGCACATATCCTTTCCCCCTTCTTTCCCCACCTCTTTCCATCTCCTCTTTCTGTGTTGTTTTCCCCCATCAGAATGTAGGATCTTTGAAGACAGATACTGTCTTACTTGCTTGTAATTGTATTGCCAATTTTTAGTATAGGATCTGGCATACAGCAAGTACTTAATAAATGTTCCATCATCTATCTATTTTTCTATCTATCATTGATCCTATACCTCCTATGTGGAAAGCACTGTGCTAGATGCTAGGGGGATATAAAACAAAACAAAACAATGCTTACCCTCAAGAAGCTTGCATTCTATATGTGTATTCATGTACACATGAGAAAATATAATATACCTATATATACACATAGATGTACAAAATATATTTTGTTGTTGAATTGTTTTAGTCATGTCTGACTCTTTGTGACCTCTTCTGGGGCTTTCTTGCCAAAGATACTGGAGTGGTTTGCCATTTCCTTCTCCTGCTTATTTTACAGATAAGGAATCAAGGCAAACAGGGTTAAGTGACTTACCCAGGGTCACACAGCTAGTAAGTGTCTGAAGAGAGATTTGAATTCACTTTCTGACTCCAGGCCCGGTTCTCTGTCCACTGTGCCACAGTGGATACCTACACATTAAAAAGTTTTGGATCTGTGATTCCATCAGCATAAATAGTTCCTGGTGAAGCAACTCTTCCACCAATGAAGAGCTGCAACTGTTCTGCAACTTATGGTCTTAGCCATAAATTGCAGAGACTGAGAGGTTGAGTCTTGGCCAGGGTCAATGAGCCAGTGAGTGTCAGCAGTGGGATTAAAACCTAAGTCACCCTTATTCCTGGGATGGCTCAGTAACCATTATGCCATGCTGCCTAATGCAAAGTCATATCAAGGGGAGAGAATATCATCAACTGGGGGAGTCAGGAGAGGCCTTTTGTGGAGGTGGCACCTGAGCTGTGTCTTGAAGGAAGGTCAGAATTCTGAGAGGTAGAGGTGAGGAGGAAGTACAGTACACACATGCAGGTCTACTTGTTCAAAGGCCCAGAGGTGGCAGATAGAATGGTGTGACTTGGCAACAGCTGGCAGTCCATTTTGACTTGGAGTGGAGAGTGTGTGATGGGAAGTAATGTGAAATAAGATTGTAAATGGAGTTGGAAGCCTGATTGTGGAGGGCCTTAAATGCCAGGCTGAGGATTTTGTAGTGTATCCTCAAAACAACAAGGAGATGTTGCAAATATTTGATTGGGGAGTGGGAATAGGAATGTGATGGTCAGATGTATGTTTTAAGAATATAGTTTTGGCAAATCTGTGGAAAATGAGTTGGAGAAGGGGAGACACTGAAAGCAGCGAAATCATCAGGAGGCTATTGCAAAAGTCCAGATGAGAGGAGAAAGGGTTAGCCTAAACCATAACAGTGTCTGTGTGAGAGGAGAGAAGAGAGTAAAAGGCAAGTGTGTGGAGATTGTTGAAGCAGTAAGATTTGCCAACTGATTGGATCTGGGGGATTTGGGAAAAGGAAATTTCAAAGATGACTACAAAGTTAGAAAACTATGTTACTCTGAGGATGGTACTGAATTCAAGAGAAATAATGAAGTTTGGAAAAATGATGGGTTTACAGAAATATAAGTTCTGTTTGGGGCATGTTGAGTTTGAGATTCCTATAGAACATCCAGGTAGAGATAGCCAATAGGCAGTTTGCAATATGAGATTGGAATTCAGGGTATAGATAAGAAATGAATCTGTAGATCTGTGACTCATCTGCAGAGATAATTATTGAACCTTTGGGGAGTGCATGAGATCACTAAGAGAGTAGAGAGAGAGAGGAGAAGAAGGCTCAGGACAGAGGTTTGGGGAAGCTTTTGTTTAGTAGATGTGAATGATGATGATCCAGTAATGGAGACAGAGCCATTTGAGAGAATCATGAAAGAAATGGGATTTAAGACTGACAGAAGTCAGGTAAAAATAATATTCTAAGAATAAAAGAATAATCTGTGATTTCTTCAGTGTGGGGGAAAGAAACTCTAGGTGCTGTAATTCCTTTCACTGACATAGATAGCAACCCATTTTGATTTAGTAGCTAATTTATAATAATAACAATACACTACCAAGGTGGCATAGTTCATAAAATGGTGGACTTGGAGTTGGGAAGATTTGAGTTTAAATCCTGCCCTAGTAGGTACTTACTAGCTGAGTAACCTTGGGTAAGTCACTTAGCCCCTACCTGCTTTAGCTTCCTCATCTCCATACTAGTTAAATGTGAATACAAAAAGTTGAAGCTGTGTCTTTTCAGTGCCTAAACATCTCACCAATGCTACAGAAGAAAAGAGTCAGTTAGCCAGATCTGTTATCCAAATAACTCCTTTGACTAAAGTTCACACTGAACCAACCCATTACCTTGGGATCATTTGCTACATGCACAATTTGAACAGATCATTATACCTATTCTTTGCTGTTAACTCCATGTACAGGACAATGTTAATAATGAGTGTGAATTTTAGTTAAGAAAGAGAAACCTTCCAACCAGTGAAAACCCTTGAGCTGGAGGTGAGAAAAGTACTTATGGTTGCCCAAGAGCCACTGGGTCTTGGAGTTTACTTACAGTGTAGCAGATTCATTATTCATCCCTTGGAAAGCATTTCCTGGGATGGTGGTTATGTGTAAATTATCACAAATTTCCCTTGAGGAGAGAAATAAAAAATATTTACTTTCCAAATTTTGACAACGATTGTGAAGCTGTTATGCATAGCAATTAGCTTAGTACTTACAAAATAAAATTAAATTCAGCTGAGAAAATCTTTGTAACATCTGGGAGCTTTTGTATGCCTGTGTTACAGATGCTCCTGCAAGAGAAAGGTGAAGGGGGTGGGAGATTAAGGCATTAACGTGAGAAAATGAAAAGAAAACCTATGAAAGACTCAACTTCACATGAAGTAAAAGGGGAAATTAGACTGTGGAGTTTGACTTCAATACTGCTTTTGGTTATGCAGATTCTCTGAGCTTAAAAGCACCAGAGCATTGAGGGAAGGTAAAGTTCAGATAGATGTTGCAGAAATGAAATCTAATCCCAGATTTTCTGTTTACTAGCCATGAGACCTTGGGCAGCATGAGCCTTAGTTTCTTCATCTAAAAAATAGGTGTTTAATAATATTTGCCCTGCCTACCTCAGAGGAAAGGAGATTGTGAACTGTCATATGCTATATAAGTATGAATTATTACTATGAATAACAATAATCATGGTGATGACCACAGACTCTGTGTAGTATTCCAGTAAGGCTTTGCCTAGTGTAGAGTATAGCTGAGAGATGACTTTTTTCCTCTGCCCTAACCCACCCAGCAGGATGAGTACTATGGCTGGTTTTAGCTCACAGTGAGCTGCTGGTCGGCTAAAATTTTATAAGTCTTCTACATAATTTGCATTATATTTTTCGCCAGAATTTCCCCACCTATTTTTATGATAGTAGCCTCCATTTCCAGTCTTCTATGTCTGGAATTCTTTCCCTCCTCATCTCCAGTTATTGAAATCCCAGCTCCCTTCAAAGCTAAGCTCACACAATCTCATAAATGAGACTTTCCCTGATGCCTCTAGTTTTTACTACTCTCTTCTTTACATACATTACTTGGTTATATCTTGTATTTACTTTTCTGTGTAGGTGTTGTTTCCCCCAGTAGAATATAAACTCCTTTTAGATAGGGATGATTTTGTTTTTGAATTTGTACTCCAGGACCTAGCACAATGCAAAGTATAGAGCAGGTGCTTAATAAATGTTTCTTGAATGAGTGAAGTCTTGCATATGATTGAGAACACTCATGTGTAGTTTAAGTGAAGCTAGGTGGCACAGTGCTAGGGTGCCAAGCCCGGAGCCAGAAAGAATCGTCTTTGTGAGTTCAAATCTTGCCTCAGACACTTAATAGCTTTGTGACCCTGGGCAAGTCACTTAACCCTGTTTGTCTCTGTTTCCTCAATTTAAAATGAACTAGACGAGAAAATGGCAAACCACTCCAGTATTTCTGCCAAGAAAACCCCAAACTGGGACATGAAGAGTTGGACATGACTGGAATGATGGAACAAACCACAAAATATTCTAAAGGGGTCTAAGTGGACAGGTGGTCTCTACTTTTTATTTCTTCTCCTGCCCCCATGCCTTTGCTCTAGTGGTCTTCCACATTTAGAATGCGCTCCCTAAACAATCAATGAGCATTTATCGAGTGTCTACTGTGTGCCAGGAGCTGTAGGAATTTATATTTCTTTGTACAATCTCGATTTTCTTTCAAAGCACAGCTCTAGAGGTATCTAGTGGCAGTGGATAGAGTGCCAGGCCTAGACTGAGGAAGACTCATCTTCCTGAGTTCAAATCTGGCTTCAGACCCTTACTAGCAGTGTGACCCTGGGCAAGTCACTTAACCCTTCTTGCCTCAGTTTTCTCATTCATAAAATCTAGGCCTTTCCTGATCCCCCATCTATTAGTGCTCTTACCATCTCCTGAAATCCTCAGTTATTTTGTTTTACATTTATATATGTGTGTGTGTGTGTGTGTGTGTGTGTGTGTGTGTGTGTATATATATATGTGTGTGTGTGTATAATATATATATTATACACACACACACACATATATATGATTTGTATGAACCTACTTGTATACCTACTGTATCCCTTGAGTAGATAATAAGCTCCTTGAGAGCAAGGATTATTTAATTTTAGCCTTTGTATCCCCAGTATTTTGTACAGTGCCTGGCACATAGCAGACAGTAAATGCTTATTGAATTGAAATGAAGAAAATCTAACATTAAAAAAAATTGAACTTAATAAAAAAAGAGGGAACAATTATCCATATAGCAAAAGGATTATTCTCCTTAACCAAAGGATTTAGCATTACATTTTTTTACTCCTTTTCCTCAACTGTAAAATGGGGACCATAACAGCGTCTACCTCACATAGCTGTGAAGATCAAATGAAATCATATTTGTAAAAGGGTTTAGCATAGTTCCTGGCACATAGTAGGTCCTCTATAAATTCTTCTTCTACTTTTTAGATAACTGGCTCCTCTAGTGAATTGAAGACGGGCTTGAAATGACACCCAGATTTTCAGGACCAGGCCTATGAATAACTTGAAGTACACCTGTCTAATGCTATGGGGCAGTAGAAAAAGCACTAAACTGAGAGTCAGATGGCCTAGCTTCTGGTCATTTTGGCTCTGCCACTTACTAGCTGTGTGACTTTTTGGTAAATCACTTAAATTCTCTGGCCTCATTTTCTTTACTCTTAATATGGGAATGGGACTTGATAATCTGTCAGAGCTTTTCTGGTGCCAACATCCTATGACTGTGAGCCTATGCATAAGGCCAAACTTACAAGCAGTGCTAAGTGCATTATTATCATTATGAAATAGCTTCTTTTCAACTTTTTAATTGATTTAATCTTTATTGGAAAGCAAAAAAAAATTCCTGTTTTTGAGAAAATGAGAATTCCTTACAGATATTTTAACCGTGGAAGGTTTGTAAAGGCTCCAGGCCCGATGTACACCAGATTTTTGGTATTCTGGATCAATCTGTGAAGATAGGGAAAATGCGTAGTTATCTAATAGATACATGTACTTCTGAATACCTGAGACTCTAGAGCACCAAAGGCAGCTGGCTGAAAAGGCGGGGACCAATCTAGCATTTTTTCATATATCTGAGAGGAAGTACTGAGGTTCTGGGGATGGTAAAAGCCATTAATGAGCACATTTCCAGTAAGCTTTCATCCTATTTTCTTTACAAGGCAGGAATCTCCCTCCTATGCTTTGCTCTGCTGTGGAGGGAGCCGTTGCCCAAAATTTCAGCAGGAAATTTGTTTTGTGGGAAGCAGTTCCAGCCCAAAGGACAGCAGGGATTAGTTAAGATTGGGGCAATTCCAGGGCTCTGTAACACAGCAAGTGATGTTTATGTTGTATAGAGTCTGTACACTGAAGGTTATGGGAAATTCAATGAACACCGGACCGGGGAGACCCATGAGTTAGCCATTTTCTGTCTGTTTCAAGGCAGGATGCTTCCAATGTGGTCGTACGACTTACACTTTAAATGTACAATGTATCTGTTACAGCAACAGTTCTCAAAGATTAGTGGTCAGGGACCTCTGGGAGGCCCCAAGATCCTTTCAGGGGGTCTATAAAGTCAAAACTATTTTCATGGTAATACTAAGACACTTTAATTTCTAGTCCAGTAAATATCCATAGTTATATCCCACATAAACAAGAGCTCTTGGTGGTGGTGATAGGGGATTCCTCAGTAATTTTTAATAATATAAAAGGGTCCTGCCACCAAAAGTTTTGAGAATGGCTGAGCTAGAGGAAAGGAGTTTGGACCAATATTCTATAAACCTGGGCTCTTTTTTTTTTGTTTGTTTTTTGGTTTTAGGCAGTTGGAGTTAAGTGACTTGCCCAGGGTCATACAGCTAGTAAGTAAGTGTCAAGTATTTGGTCTGAGGCCAGATTTGAACTCAGGTGCCTCCTGACTTCAGGGCTGGTGCTCTATCTACTGCACCACCTAGCTGACCCTGACCCTGGGCTCTTAATTGTGGCTTTGCAGTTAACTAGCTTTGAGACTCTGGGTAAAGACACCCATGCTTTCTGTAGATGATAGCCACTGTTGTTACCAATTCAGAATGAAAGCCAAAGGCAACTATGATGTAACGGACTTGGAGTCAGGAAAATCTGATTTTGAACTCAACTTCAGACACTGGAGTGAGTGTCTCATAGAGGCAGCTAGGTGGTGCAGTGGGTAGAGTGCTGGGACCTGGAGTCAGGAAGTTCAAATTTAGCCTGAGAAACTTAATAGCTCTAAGACCACGGGCAAGTCACTTAACCTTTGTTTGCCTCAGTTTCCTTATCTGTAAAAGGAGGATAGTAATAGCAGCTGTCTCACTGGGGCAGCTAGGTGGTGCAGTGGCTAGAGTGCCAGGCCTAGAGTGAGGAAGACTCATTGTCCTGAGTTCAAATCTGGCTTCAGACCCTTACTAGCAGTGTGACCCTGGGCAAGTCACTTAACCCTTCTTGCCTCAGTTTCCTCATTCATAAAATGATCTGGAGAAGGAAATAGTAAACCACTTTGTCAAGAAAATCCCAAATGGGATTGAGAAGAGCTGGGCATGACTGAAATGGCTGAACAACAAAACATAGGGTTGTTGTGAGGATCGGATGAGATCGTATTTGCAGAGCACTAATATACAGAAAGCACTTAGCAAACCTTAAAGCACTATATAAATGCTAACTATTTTTCTTACAGTGTCTGTAACAAAGTGCCTCAGAAAGTACAGAACAATCATGTAGGATGTTAGGATTATTATCCCTACCTTGGGCAGGTGCTTCCAAAGTGGCCCTCCCCTCTGAAAAGTCACTAGATAAGGCCTTTCTGTTTCTCTCTGCCTTCTTTCAGATACAATCCTTACATTTCTAAGGCTTCTCATCAGTGTGAATCCTCTGATGCTGAATAGGGTTTGAGCCATTACCGAAGGTCCTCCCACAGTCATTACATTTGTAAGGTTTCTTATGAATTGGTATGGAGCCTCTGGTGCATAATGAGTTGTGACCATTGACAGAAAGATTTCTAATATTCATTACATTGCCACACTGACCAAACTAATGACCTTGACCTTCTACAGGCCTCGAGGGATCTCATTGTTGATGACCTTTCTATTGTTATTTCTTGAGGACTTGAGTTCAGACTGATAATCTTCAAGCTTTTCTGATCACACATTCCACCAATTTAAAAAATTGGCACATGTATCCCTAATATGTGTATGTTTACATATTTATAAATTACATGTGTATATACTTACATATGTATACTACTATACTAACAAATATGTAAATTATGAGACACATTTCTCACTGGGCTATACAACTTTGGGACTTCTTGAAATGACCTCTCCACCATTACCCTCCCCTATGCCTTGTTTTCTTTTTTCCTCACTCTTTTTTAGCTTCCTTTGGTGTTTTTCTTTTCCCCATTAGATTGTAAGTCCTTGAGGGCAGGGATTGTCTTTTTTTATATTTGTATCCCCAGCACTTAGCACAGTGCCTGACACATAGTACGTGCTTAATAAATGTTTATTGACAACAAAATTGGCATATTAAAAGGATGCAATAAAGATGAAATAATATTTGATTCTAGAGTCAATAAGGAATCCTTGGAGTTTACTGAGAGAATGATATGGTTAGATAGGAGCTTTAGGAAAATTACTTTGGCCCTTGTGTAGGGGAATGGTTTGGCTAGTAGAGAGAGAAGGCAGGAAAGCCATTTAGGAGGAATAGTCTAGTGGAGTTGTAAAAAGGGCTGAATTAGATTGGTGGCTGTGTAAGTAGAATCTTTCTGTTCAGTCAAATGCCCCAAATAAGACAACACTTTACTGTATTTGTACATACTGTACAGTTCAGCATCTATGCAACGCTGTCTCATCTGCTAAGGTCTAAACTCCCTAAATACGTAGTGAGTGAGCTTCTGGGAAGCTGCAGTGGCTGCACGTTGGAAGCCCTAGGGGTATTTAGCCCAGAAAAGAGATGACTTGAGGTAGAGGGGTGAGAGGAGGAAAATGATAGCTGACTTCGAGTATTTGAAGGGCTGTCATATGGAAAAGGAGATAGACAGACTTGTTCTGTAGGAGCAATGAGTGGAAGTTGCCAAGGGAACTGATTTAGGAAAGATGTCAGGGAAAACTGCCTAACAATTAGAGCTATCTCAAAGCAAATGGGCGATGGTGAGTTCCGTTCACTGGAAATCTTCCAGGAAAGGATGGATGATTAATAATAGTTAACTTTATATAGTCCTTTAGGGTTTGCAAAGTACTTTACATGGACTGTCTCATTTATTCTTCCCATCCACCCTGGGACATGGGTGCTATCATTATCCCCATTTTACAGAGGAGGCTGAGCGGTTAACTATCCAGCATCATAACTAGGGAATATTTGAAGGCATGATTCAAACTCAGGTTTTTCTGACTCCAAGTCTAGCACTTTGTTTATTATGACAGCCTGGTGCTAGATGCATCTTATTGAGTGTGTTTTGTGTTGTAGAAGGAATTCACTTTCTGGAATGGGTTGGGTTAGTTGGCCACTGAGTTTACTTCTAACTTGAAGTTCTTTGATTTTGTGATTGGAACTTATCCTTCTCCCCTGTCCCTCACAGTCAGTCAGCTAGTAAACTAAGCATTTATTAAGCACCTGCTATGTGCTAGGCGCTGTCCTCTGACTGATTGACTCTCATAGTGCTTACAACACTACTGGAAACATACAGGCATATTTAATAACCATTTGTTGGATGACTCATCTAATTATATTTTGAAAATGAATGTCTAATTTTTTTGCAAGTGTTAGCAGAAAAGGATCATAGATTTAGAGCCGGAAAAGACTTTAGCAATATCCACAAAAGGTAGGGCCAAGATGCTATTTAAGTTTTGGACTCAGAAACTTCTGGCACAGTGTGGTAAGAAGAGCACAATCCTTGGAATCACAGGACTTGAATTCTTATCCTGGCTTTTCCACTAACTAGCTGTATGACCTAGGGTCTCTGGGCCCTAGTTTTTAAAACTGTAAAACATGAGGATCAACAAAATTATCTCTAAGGTCCTTTTGCCCCAAATTTCAAAATGAATCTACGATCTTGGAATACAGAGATTTTTGTTCCACATTTACAATAAGATGGAAGGAAACCTGAAAGTGACCCTCAGCCCAAATTTCCACACTGTCTGTTGCACTCCAGACCTAGAAGGAAAGGCATCATGGTCTGCTAGACTAGACTTGGAGTTAGGAAGACCTGGGTTCAAATCTTGCTTCAGACACTAGCTTTGGGACCCTGAGCAAGTCATTTTACACCTCTATATGCCTCTGTTTCTTCATGTATAAAGTGAGGGCATTGTGCTTGATGGGCTCTAAGACTCCTTCTAGCTCTAAATATGTTATCTGTGATCCTGTGACCCCCCTCCCCCCAACAGAGAGATGGAAGCTGCAGGCTGGACTCTGACATGTCAATTTTAATTTCCAACTTTGTTTTGTGATGTTTCAGAGTTTATACAGCACCTAGGGAGAAGCAGTTGTCACCATAGCAACCTCTAGGCCACTGTGGTGAGAGAAATTAGAGCCTGCCCAAATCCAGTAATTGAGGTAGTCTTTTTTTTTTTTCCTCTTGGATCCTTGCAGCAGGTGCCTGAATACAAATATGGAGTGGGCTCTAGCTAGCAAGGGTACTAGTGTACAGCAATAAACTATCTGTTAGCCGATGCTTACATTTCAGACAAATTGAGGAGGCTGTCAAAGGCATTAGCTTCCATCCTTTCCAGCGAGTCACTCTGAGAGATTTCACTGGGGGGAGAAACAAAGAACACAACATGAAACAGATGATCATGTCTACATGAGAATGAGCTGTGCGTGACATGAACAATTGGGGTAAAAGAAGCGAATATGTGATGTGTTTTCTTTGAAAAAGAACAGAAAATTCGAGGCATCATAAAGTGCTAATGTCTCCCTTTAGGAGCTTGGGTGAGTGAGTGCCTGCAATACAGGTATAGTTGAAATGCACATTTTTCAGTTCCCATTGCAGCTGTCGACAGCCCAGCTTTATAGGTGATTGTGTTTCTTGCTCTGCTATAAATGAAAGAGCATTAAAATTTTGTCCAGATTAATCATGACACAACTTAGGACTAAGTCTCCTAAAATGGAATTCTGATATGCATTTAGATGATGACCTGGGATAGTTGTTCTTTGGATACTGAGATCAGTGCAGCTGGCAGAGTGCCTCAAAGCATGTGTCTGGGTATTTCTTATGACCAAAGACCAAATGCAAGATCATATCTGTAGCCAGAAGGAAAATAGCAAATTGATGCCATTGTATTTTTGTATGCTTTTGTATTCCTAAGGCTAATGGCTCAGTTAAAGGCTTGTGCTTTGACAAAATCCAGAAAACGTCCATTATGAACAATAGAGTCTATACAGAGCCTGTTCTCAGCTTGATGATTCATTTATTGAACCTATGGCTGCTCTTCTAATTAAGGGTTTTGTCTTTGTCTCCCCAGCCCCTAGCTCAGTGCCTGGCACACAGTAGACACTTAATAAATGCTTGTTGATTGATTGACTAAAAGAGAGATAAAGTGTCACTGGAAGCTTTGGGGACAAACATCGCTTGCCTCAATATAAACCTTCAATAACTTTCCTGACTCCTTCCCATTTGCACTAAATTTCTTATAGTTGGCATTTATTCTGGAGAAATTTTTAAAAAGTGTCATCAGAATAGTAGCAAGACCTAACATTTAGAGTTGGTAGCCTGGGTTTGAATCCACCTTAGACACTTTTTAAGTATGGTGTTGGGCAAGGCACTTAACTCTAAGCTCGGTTTCTTCATCTGTCCAATAGCAGTAATTATGCTTGTGTTATCTACTAAACAGAGTGGTTGTTATGAGGAAAGGGCACTACAAAACTTCAAGCTATATACATTTGCATTGTTGTTATTAATGATCTCCATATTTTAAAACTACTCCTCAAAGGAAGCTAGATATCCCCACCTAGGCTGCCAATGTGGACTTATCATCTTCTATGGATATGTCTCCTCCACTTCCACTATACTAATCTAATATACTGCCTTTAGGAGATGAATTTTGGGCTGCTGCTAAAACTATCATTAAGAGGGGAGGTAGAAAAGTTTACCTCTCAAGAAGGCTCTGTCTACAGTGGCTGCTTGAATTACTCACCATAATGTAGTTTATTATTATCGTGAATATTAAAGTACAAACAAGATGCCTGCCTAGACCTAGCAATTGAGGAGTCTTTTTCTTTTGAATTGGCCTAGTCAGTTTGTACCTTTCTGTTTCTTGCAATGTTTCCTCCTGGCCCCCTAAAAAGAACAATATGTGGAGTTTCACTCTTTTCAAAATTCTAAGCCATCTGCTATACCATGGTCATGGAAGGAGACTTTGGTCCTAGAAGGCCTATGTATGTGGATGGAGGCTTGGGTCTAGAAAGATGAGGCACAGGGGACAAAGGAGGAAAGGTCAGATCTGAGAGGACACAAGATAACATGGTATTATCAGGCTGTATTATACTTTTGATAAATTCCTTTCATCAATATGGCTATAAATATTGTGTTTTTGTCATAAACTTATTATATTTTAGATACAAAGATTATTCTCAGATGCACAATAAAATACCAGACACATTTTCTCTGATGTGGGTGTTATCTAAAAACGTGTCATGGGGGAATAGCCATTCTATTGCACAAGAAGAGTTTTTATGATTGGAATCTATCTCCTTTTCCACTTGGGAAGTTTATCATCACTTATCAAAATGCATTCAGTTCTCTGAAGCGAGGTTAATTATCTGGATTTTAATGACTCCTGAAAATCATACCTTTCCTTCAAAGGTCCCTAGATGCTAGCTGTATGGATATAGACAGAAATAATAGGGTTTACTTTCCTAAACACATTTCCCCCTCCACAAAAATTATCCCCTTTCAGCCATGCTTTCTCTTACTGCTTTGAAAGAAAAGAAACAATCATTGCAGTTGTGAGTGTCATTTTGCATAAGGGAACCAACTTACATTATTAAGACATCACTAAGTCCTCTGAAAGCTTGTGAAGGGATGACTTTGACAGGGAGATAGGTAAGTGATCTGGAAAGGGGAAAAAAAAAGCAGGCATTTCAAGATTGGATGCTTTTAGATTTTTACATAAATGTGGCTTTGTGTGCCTTCCTTCCTCTCCCCATTGCCCCCCATCAGACCACCTGGTTCTCAAGCTCCCCATGACAAAGCTGATCTTCTCTGAGTAGTGTAGCAGTTGGACTCTTGACTGCTGCTTAGACTTATTCTCTGTTAAAGGCAAAGGTCATGGGCCCAGCTTGGTCTCTTTTGAAGAGCCTTAAATCTGTGCTGATGTCAGGTTACTTCAGGTAGGGAAGGAAGTTTGGGAGGGGGTGGTGGTGTTTGATTTCTTAGAGGGAAGGTTGGAGAAAGGCAGACAGGAGTAACATGATGGAGGAAGCAGGGGTTTTTGACAAAATTTCTCCTACCTTTGGGACTTCCTCTTTATCTCCAGGAACCCACATCATCAACTAGGGATGCTTCCTTCAGGTCATTTTGACCTTGGAACACCTTCATGGAGAGACAAACCTACAGATGCATTTACTTCATTTATCTATCCAATTGTTCATTGGATAAGCATTTATGGATTGACCAATCTATACAGAACCTTGTAGTAGGTACTCTGGAGGGGAGCTAGAGCTGCAGAAGAGATGAGAGGCAGCATGCTGCAGGGACAAGGATGTTTGCCTTGGAGAGAGAGGGCAGAGACTAGGTTTGTAACCTGCATCTGACACTTACTAGCTTTGTGACCCTGAACAAGTAATTTAACCTCTCTGATGCTGTTGTTTCATTTGCAAACATGGATAAATACACCTGAAGTACCTATCTCACATGGATGGTAAAAGGATCACTTTATACCTTAATAAAGAACAGACCTTTGCTATCTTCCAAATCAGACTTCTTATATAGAAAAAGATTAGCATAAGGAAGAGGCAAGGGCTATATTCTATACCCTAGACTCTTGGTTGAGAGTAACATTCAGAACTTTCTATTTGCACATATCAGAGAAATCACAGAATTTAGAGTGGAAAGGATCCTTGGATGTAATTTAGTCTAACTCCTTCATTTATAAGAAAATAGACCAGCAACATCTGCTGCCACTGAGGGGGAACCACAGACTGATACCTCCTCCAACCAACACTCATTTCTCCAATAAACAATTCCTACCAAATGCAGGATACCCACTATTGGCTCGGTACCTGGAGATATCCCAGAGCCCCACTCCATTGTAACTGTTGAACCCCCTGACCCTTTGGTAGACCATCTGCTCTGTCATTACTCCCCAAGATCCCCTTAGCCTTGTTATTTTCTCTTTTATTTTCCTTGCTTAGGTACCATCTGGCCTTTCCATTTTCCATGAAGTGAACATAAACGTGAACTCTCCAATGTGTTGCCTGTCCCATTAGATGTGAGCTTGCTTGAGAGCAGCTCACTCTTGTGTGAGCTCCTTGAGAGCAGGGAGCATCTCAGATTTTCCTTTTTGGATTCCCAATGCTTAGCACAATGCTAGGCACATAATATGCACTTAATAAATGCCTTCCTATTCCATGAATGTCAGAGAGGCTAAGTAACTTTTTCAAGGTTATATACATCTATAGTACCTGGCTCATGGAAGACCCATGACTAAAAATCTGGATCTCCAAGTCCAATGTGCTTCCCACTACATCACATTACCTGCAGTTAAAGGCCAGCTCATCAGATGCTTCTATCTAAACACAAAACCTGTGAGCATGTAACAGATGGGTAGTTCCACTCAATAGCCTTGCAGGTAATAGGACCCCCCAACAAGAGGCAAGCAAGGCTTTGTACTCTAATTCCATTTCTGAAAATGGCCCCATTAAATATGTCTTTCAACACTTGGAAATATTTAACATGGATTAAAGTAAGAATAGTGACGACGGGGAAGAAAAAGTCCCCTTGTTATGGCATGTTTGCTTCCTATATTTCTTCTGAATCATGTCTGCTTGGCTTACTGATTAAAAACACGGTTTTATTGCTCTCTGCACTGCCAAGCCCATAAATTTCCAGAAGAGAAAGCTGTATTCTACTGTACCCCCTGCAACATCAATAAAACTGACAGCCAAGTTCTGATCCCAGAATCTTTATTACTAAGGGATAATGTAGAACAGAACATATTTTGGAGAGAGTTTATATAACAGCTTCAGCCAAACTCTTCAGAGCTGTTTATTCATGCAAATGGGAGCAAAACAGTCCCAGCCTCTCTGCAGGCAGCCTGGGAGAAGGATGGCAGTGAGTGTAGGGTGTGATTCCCAGGAGGGCTGCAGAGCTCAGGTGTGAACAGGGAGGTTACTGGAAGGTACTGATAGATAGAAGCCAAGGGGGCTGGGAGGAAGGACAAAGGTCAGAAAAAGTAGGAGAAATGCTGGATCACTAGGAACAATGCCGCAGAGCTTTCCTGGTGCCAAAATGAAGCTGGTCTCAGGTAATGCTGATGTCAGGGGGCAGAAAAAGCAGCAGGAATGGAGGTAAAGATGAAGAGAATGAGGGGGGTTGATGCTGACCTAAGAGCAGATGACCGGGCAGGTGACTCTGATTGAAAAGGAGCTGAGTATCAGAATCCTTGAGCAGAGCTGCAATGATACACCTGCACCCACTTGACTCAGCGTGTGTTTCTTAGGACGCTGTATGCAAACTGAATTTTTGTCAAATGAATCTTGTGCTTACATTGCATTCTTGAAATGTTTGTGAATTAAATCGGTGGCTGGGCCAAAGCTCTTCTGTTTAAGAAGATTCAGAACAGAACAGAAATCGTTAGAGTGTGAGCTCCTTGAAGGCAGGGACTATCTTTTGCCTCTCTTTGTGTCTTAGCACAGTGCTAGACCCGTAGGTGCTCAATAAATACTTGTTCACTGATTGAAATCAGAGACAGCATAAAGAAAACAAGACAAAGGTAAGGAAGGGGGGGTAACTGCTCAGGGGCAGAAAGACAATGAGGGAGGTTCTAGAAAAACAAAGTGAAACAATTTGGAGGGGTTGTTTTGGGGCCAGAAATGGAGATGTAACCAATTTTATGCCACTTAATACCCAGAGGAAAGAACCAGGTCTGGTGTCCAAATAGTATGATGACCATATAGAACAGACAGTTTTCAGTAGGTAAGAGTGGGAATCGATGGTATCAGTTACAGATTCATATTCCCCCCATTTAAAGTCAGAGGGTTCAAAACACCTATTTTTCTTTTCTTTTTTTTGGGGGGGGAGGGGGTAGAAGTTGGAGGCAATCAAGGTTAAATGACTTGCCCAGAGTCACACAGCTAGTGAGTGTCTGAGGCCACATTTGAACTCAGGTTCTCTTGACTCCAGGGCTAGTGCTTTATCTACTGTGCCACCTAGCTGCCCCTTAAATACCTATTTTTCAAAGGAAGGGAAGGGAAGATAAACCTGATCCTCTCTTGGATTCCATATCTTGGGGGATGAGAGGTCCCTCAAAAAAACCCAAGTGTTTATGAATAAAATCCCAAGATTGGAAATTACAGATTAAAAAAGTACTATCTTTAGATAAACCTGATTAGTCCAGATGAAATAAGGCCATTTTGGTCATTTGGAGAATTTAAAAATCATTTACCTCCTCCCTTAGTACAGTTTCCTCTAATTCCTATTGCTTAACCTATTTCTATTGCTTAATTGGATGTGACTTAGGAACCAGTGATGTGGGGGAGAGAGTACTGTTGTAGAGTCAGTAGATGTGGGTCTGAGCTTCAGTTCTGCCTCATACTAGCTATATGAGCTTGAGCAAGCCATTCTTCCCTGGTTCTCTGTTTCCTCATCTGTAAAACGACTTGATTGAACTCGATGATTGCTAACATTTCTCTAATTTTGCAGCTCTCGTGTTCTGTAATTCCCTTATTTCCCTATTTATCTCTTTCTTTCTCTTTTCCTTTTCTCCTGGGGTGTGTGTGTGTGTGTGTGTAATGGTGGTGGTGGTCGGGTTCATCTCAATTAATGTAAATACAGAAGGTCAAAACTTCTTGAATGAACCAGTCAATCAGAAGTGTAAACTAGATGCAAACAAGGCCTTAATCAGCTTGGAAGAAGTGTTTTGATCATTGGATGAAAATGGATAGTATCATACAGGAAATGCCTCCATTGGGCTCTTATATAACCCAGCAAGCTAGTTTGGCACCTGGCATTCTAGTCTAGTGATGGAGCAGCCTCTGAGAAGGAGTTATTTGGAGGAAGAGGAAGAAAGGATCACTATGTCCTTCTTTTCCTATATGAAGGTAATTGTGTGAATTCTGTCCCTCAGTGTGCTTGGAGAGCAGTGGTTGAGGGAAGCTTCTATATTGGGTGCTAAGATGTGACACTCAATTAAGACTGAAGACAAGCCAGGTACATTGAGGAAAGACAGCTTTAAGACTCTACCAGGTTACCAGCACTCCAAGCCCAGTAGAATGCTGTATTGACCTAAGGGGAACTTTATGAAGAATCTACAACGGCAGAGAAGGACTTCCAGTAACCAGGAACTATAAGTTATCTCATTTTTAAAATATTTTATTTTTTTCCAATTATATGTAAAAACAATTTTTAACATTTGTTTTTTTTAAAATTTGAGTTCCAAATTATTTTCCTCCTTTCCCCTTATTGAGAAGGCAAGCAATTTGATATAGGTTATCCATGTGTAGTCATATAAAACATGTTTTCATATTAGTCATGTTATGAAAGAAAACACAGATCAAAAAAAAGCAAAGAAAAATAAAGTAAAAAAAGTATATGTAACTCTGCATTCAGATTCCATCAGTCCTTCTCTTGAGGTGGAGAACATTTTTCATCATAAGTACTTTGGAACTGTTTTGGGTCAGTGTACTGTAGAGCAGAGCTAAGTCATTCACAATGATTATCATACGATGTTGCTGTTACTGTGTACACTCTTCTGGTTCTGCTCACTTCACTTTGCATCAGTTCATGCAAGTCTTTCCAGGTTTTTCTGAAAGCATCCTGTGCATCATTTCTTATAGCACAAGTGAATTCCAACACAATCATATACCACAACTTGTTCAGCAATTTCCCAGTTG